TATGCAGCGTGGCAGTGGTATGCTGAATGCTGGAACACTCTCACTGAAAGAAGCCAGCCTCTGCCTACTAGTTGAACTATAGTCCTGGCTCAACTATGAGAGAAAGCTAGGTACAGCAGCATGTGTTCAGGTAAGTAAACATTAAACAACAATGCAATATGGACTGGGTGTATCCAGGATGGTATATACAGTATGTGTGTCCCAGGTTCAGGCTGTATGCAGATTATTTTTCCACTAGAGGGAGTGCTGGGAGGCTGGAATGGTAGAGGTAATGAGCCCAGCTGAAGTAGGCTGGCACATTAGGGCCTCTATAATAACTCCCAGACTGCTCAGAGATTTGCTTCACCCTGGAACCAATTTTATGCCTGAGTAGACCGGGGAGCTTTCTACCTACCTGTGTGGTGACAAAGAAAACAAACCAAAACTTGTGTGGTGAGACACAGCCTGTGTGACAGTTTATTGAATAGGGAGATAGGTGCTAGGGGCAGCACAAGGTTGCACCTGGTTTTTAGTGAGGGAAACAGTGTGTGTAATAAGTGGCCAAAAGGCAAGGATTTCTTTTCATGTTTTGTTTGTTTTGCTCATATTTTTCTTGTAAATAGTGTAAATAAACTGCATGTGTGTTTTTCACCTGAAGAAATTGTTTGCTGTGCTTCATTGCTGTGGAGTGAACTGTTAAGGACTCGGACATCAAGAATCCGACATATATCTGTCCCTGGGCCAAATTCAGTAGAAAGTGTGCACACTATCAGTGAAGAAATAAAACACGCTGACACACTCATCCAGGGAGTCACACACACCCGCTGCTTAGCTAACACCCTCACAATAGATATATATATATCAGCTGAATAACTTATGCTGTTCAGTCAATTATTTGATACAAGTGCCCCTGCCAAGCCCCCGGGCCCCAACACATGAACACACCCCAACCTACCTGATTGAGCAGGGAACGAGTGGCAACACAATAATTCATCATTGCTCTTCTGTGTACTCCTGTCAACATGTTCCTTGTCAGTTCATGTGTACTGCAAAGCTGACAGCAAACTTGATTAAATAGCAAAATTTATTAAACCACTTACCCCCAAAAAACGACATAACTGCATTAAAATGACACTAAACTCTGGAATTAAAAAATAAAAATGCATTCAAGTACCTGAACTATTAACAAAAATGTATCTTATTTGTGTATCACTCGGCTGTAGATCTTCAGATCATTTCTGAATTGGTGCTGACACTGTCTCTCCTTCTCGAGGGTAGCTACCTTGGTTCTCCATGGTCCGTGTGTGTGTTTTAAAGTAGCCACTGCTCCAGCTCACTCCCATGATGGACTACAATCTCATGTTTAGTTTACTAATGTATGTTGAGATTGTAGACCACCATGGGAGTGAGCTTGGAGCGGTGGCTACTTTATAACACACACAGGGACCATGGGGAACAAAAGTAGCCACCCTCCAGAAGGAAGGACAGTGTCAGCATGAGATGATTTGAAGAACTACAGCCACCTGATACACAAAAAGGACACATTTTTGTTCATGGTTAGTGTACTTGAATGCATTGTTGAGGTTTAACTCTATCGTTTAGTGTCACTTTAATTGCTGTTTTTATATTTGGAGTGCAGTTTAAGTACTGCTACTTACTACAGAAGTAGAAAATGTAGGGAATCTCCATTTCCACTTAAGGAAAAGTGTAACATTTTGCCACTGTAGCTATTTTATAAGTTCATTTTAATAAAAATTACTTTTTAGCCTGAAGCCAATTTGATTTTCTAAAAACAAAAACTCAAAAGTTGCTTTCTTCATAGTACAGAATGCTGGGGGTGTTCTGTATTGTCAGTTCTATGGTACATGGTTGGAAAATGATACAAGAGTTCTGAATGGTTGCTGCAACAAGAAATCTCTTCACAGTACACGTTTTATGCTTAACCCCTTATGCATTTTAATGCAGTATATTTTTTTTTAATTTAGTCTTGTTTGCTGTCTTTTGGTGTAGTTTTCGTGCAGCAGCTCCTTTTGGAATTAAGGCACTTCATGTAAAACACATAAAAAACATATTGGAAAAAATAAAAAAACAAAGTGTGAATATGCCTGAAATGTTTAGTTACTTATACACATTCAGTTAGACATTTTATGTGTAGCATTAATATTCAACATATCTGTAAACCAGGAAGTGGTGCTGTCATTATTTAATCAGTCTGATTAAAACTGATAGGCTCCCTTCTCTGAAAAACTGGTGCAGTCTACGCCTTGGAGTGGCTACATTCATGCTGTAAGAACGGCAGACACACTTATAGAAACCACAATCTCCCATGATGTATGTAAACCTCTCAGTATACACATATTTGGCATAATCAGGTTGAACAGATAATATAAAAAGTATTGTTTTCCTTTACTGCATAGCATTTTGCCCACGTGTTATTCTAATAAGTAAAAAATAAATAGAAAATGGCTTTTGCAGACAATGGCTTCAGTGAGCCAAAGTAAGACATCAGTTTGTTAGCATAGCAACTCTAAGGAATAGTTTATTTAGCATATGAGAAAAAAACTCTTTGGCATACCTTGCAATGAATCTTGCCAGCCCGATATTAGTGCACAGGAGTAGAAAGATGACCATGATACAGCGGCTTCTTCCAGACTAAAGCCTCTAAGGTTCATTTGGTTCAACTTCTGGAACTGCTAGAGAAAAATGACATACTGTAGTAGCCACAGATAGACAAGTTACATAACATTTGAGAAATGTGTTACTTATAAAATAAAGAAAATGATAGAAACAGATTACTTTATTATTTCAGTGAAGCCTTAGTCATGCATTTGGACTACTTTGCTTGAAAGAACTTTGAGCATGAGCTGGGCAAAACATGTGGACTTGCACTAAAGTCAAATGAAACAAATAGCCTTTAACCCCTTCATGACTGAGGCCTTTTTTTGCACCCATGTTATATTCCACATTTTAGGCCTGAAAATTACTTAAAACCCCCAAACATTATATATTTTCTGAATGCCAAGACCCTATAGAATAAAATGGGGGTAGTTGCAAATTTTTATGTAGCGCAATATTAGCGCAACTCCTTATTAAACCCCAAAATTTAGTGACAAATTTAATGAAATGCCCCAGAACACAATAAAATACCCATTTTTTTAACGAATATAAAAGATGAGGTTACAACAGTACAGTATATTCTACAGAAATCAGTTTAAGCTGCTTCCAAAATGTGTTCGTACTGCATTCTTTAGTGAATTGTATCTCTGTATTAACTGCTGTCCTTGAATTGTTTCCTTTCTAAGACTGTTTCATGATCCACAAAATTATGATTGGTTTTGTATACGTGTATGTCTTTTTATTGGCTTATGCCCCGCCATCGCCCCTTTCGCTGTCCATATAATCTTTTGTTTTAACAATAAACCTTGGAATACAGAGTGAATACATTGTTTTGTGTGCTTCTGTATTCCCAAGTACTTGTCTGAAGCTTACCTGGGCACTAGTCTTTTCAATAAAAAAAATGTTATGATCTTAAAATAACATGGTTATAGTTTTGAATACCTATCTCTTTATAGTTATATTAAAGTCAAACTCTAGGCAGATGCAAAAGACACAAATTAATGCAACTTTGTAATCATTAAAGTGATATTAAACCCTTTTTGTTTCTTAAGAAGAAGAGGTCTACACTTACATTAGCTGATTATTCTTTTTCTTAAAAATTGTCTCTTTATACTTTTTCAAGCAGTGCCCCCAGACTGTTTGCGGATGTCTCCTTTAGATAAACAGTTGCTGAGGAGACACCAATGCATGTATGTACCTGGCTGGGACCTTCATCTAGCTGTGTGTGTCAATAGACACGTACAGCACCCAGCAAGCCACGTATTTGCTCCCTTCTCCAATCTCCTCCCAACAGATGCCCATTGCTCCACTGCCTCAGTACCCTCCTCCACAACCCAGACGTTCAGGGAACTAAGGCAATCTTAGTTCCCTGAACGTCTGAGAAGGGAGCATAGGTCTTTGAGGACAGGGGAGCATGAAAAGGTACTGGGGTATTTTTTACCTTTTTTTTAAGGAAAAAACATCTAGCATTTAGTACCACTTTAAGGCCACTTTTAAACAAGCGTGTCAGTAGAGGATCCGTCAACAGATCCCCTCCTGATCATAGCAGTACGGAGCATATGTCACAGCTGAAACGGAAACTGCCAGACCCCATGTGTGTCTATGGAGAATCGGATGTAAATGAACATGTGTCCATTCAAATCAGATTACCCCCAGCCCAGCACGATCTGGTCCGTCGAAATGTATCTCAAAGTAAAAAAGATACAGACATGCTGTAGTTTCCAATCCTCATCTTACCCCATGTCAGCAGTGGTCACCATGCCGCAGCAGTGCTGTGGTGAATACAAATGAATGAAATGTCACTTTGACATTTTAATAACGTAAAAAATAAGAAAATTTTGCAAGCACCGCACCTGACCACCAGCACGCAGCAGACACTAGCCTATACGCTAAAACAGGTCATTTCAGTGTTATGGGCTGTTGTGAATCAGGCCAAATACACCTTTTTTTTATGCAAGCAGTGTAAGTATTTGATCTTGTATTAGAGTCTTACAGTAGCAGTACGGCAGCGCTGTAGTGTGAGAAGATGAAGCAGGACAAGAAGCCAATCAGTTCATGTGCGGAGTGCTGACAAGAGACATGTTGATAGGAGAAGAAAGCAAAATGACAGAGAGATGAGCTTATTAGCATGCTGCTTCTCCTTTTACTGCCCAGTCACTGATTGTGGCGGGTCTTGGATGACCTGCGCTCAGAGAAAGATGGTTAAATGTAGCAGAAAAAAAGTACTTTCTCTGGATTAAAGATGAATATTGCAACCAAATCTGATTTTGTTATTTTGTCTTTTAATGGACTTTTAGTTATATATTTATATATACACATATTTACAATATGAATATAACTCTGCTGTATTACATATGTATATCCTTAAACATAGTAAATCTAATGTCGTTTTCTCACTTTTGTAGGCTGGAATGATACGCACAACTGAAGATGAATTTTTCATTGAACCCCTTGAAAAAGGTAAACAAAAGGATGAGGAAGAAGGCAGAATACATGTAATATACAAAAGATCAACCGCAAAGAAAGTTTTGCCTGAAGACATCCCGAACAGATCAGGTCAGTGACAATTTACACTGTGGATCTACAAGCCATGCTTGAAAAATCAATTTCCTTTTCTTTATTACTTCTATGAAACTTTAGAGCAGCTCCTTGTTGTTGACACAGTATGAGCTGGGGCACATGGTTTACATTATATTACTAAGATATAGGTTTGTATAATGCATAATGTTCTTTAATGGTAAGGTAGGTGCGTTCAGTACCACAGTTTGTCTACAACAGTGTGAGCCTTGCATCATTTTCCATACTGTTTGCATGCTGAACTCCAGAAAAACAGCTAAATATACACTGCTGAAATACACATATGTAAACTGTCTTATCTGCCGATGGATCTGTTGTCCTGTTTAGCTACTGTTGTGGTTTGTGTTACTGCACCACTGGTACACCTCCACTTCCAGACAGAACAGCAAGAAGTACAACACCATTTTCTCTGTTATAATTACATGCCATTGGTAGTCACCAAAAGAAATCATATAAGCATCACGATACAATGCTAAAACTAAAGTAACTCCAGTAATTTAAACTGTTATTTTGGGAGCAGTCACATAACCACAACAGTATATCTGAGGAGACTGGCGGGGCTGGCAAGTGTTTGCATCCACAGCATCTGGCCACTGGTGGTGACGTGATTCTCTTTTCGCTATTACTCAGTGAAGAGGACACATAGACCAACCACCGCGGAGCTGGAGCTGGATCGCGTGCATAGAGCGCAGGGGGCCCGTACATTGCCTTCGGGAGTCCCGAGAAATGTCCTCTGCAGGGTCCACTTTTATGCCATAAAGGAGGAGATTCTCCGTAGGGCCTGGAATAAAAGACCATTGGACTTCGATGGAGCAAGGGTCCAAATTATGCCGGATCTTTCCCGCCACACCCTGCGTATGCGCCGCACCCTGAGGCCTGTGCTGGAAGTGATCAGAGCAGCAGGGGCTACCTATCGCTGGGGCCATCCCTTTCATCTTATTGTCTCCCGGGAGAATCGGTCTTTCACTTACATGAACCCGCTCAGTTGTGGGCCCTTTATGCATTCCTGGAGTCAGAAGTAGTTCCTGTGCCGAACTGGCTGGATTTCTCGATGGATCAACCTGAACCGAGCCCGGCAACACCTAGACCAGTGAGGGGATCGCGTTCCCGCCAGCGCTCCTACCTCCGGGGTACCCCGTCCAGCAGTAGAGACGCTAGGGAGCCGTGAGTATCCAGAAATGCCGGCCCTCCCTCATCCAAGTGTGGATGCCACTTGACCACCCTGTGGCTTGACTCTATCTATGATTTTCCTCCCATGGATCCCTTGGACAGACTCCTGTCCCGAAGGGACACGCAGGGCTCCGTTGTATCCTTGATCTTAGTATGCCTTGGAGGGGGGGGGGGGTGGAGGAGGGTGAGGGTCAGCTATACACAAGGATATAGTGGACAGTGGACATCTTCCATATCTGGTCCTCTCCAGGCCATACGAGTTTTGCGTACCTGGTCCTGCTGCGTTGAAGTCATTTGTTATGCTTGTTATGGTTTCATTCTTAGAGCATGCCTCTCCTGGGGTGCGCGGGCTAGGCCCGGGTTGTGGCACCGGTCTGGGGTCAAGTAGCCTCCCGGCGATACCCTGGCTTGCATGAGCGGCAGTGCAGAACTTCCGGATAAGGCATGCCCACCCTCGGTCGGTCCTGCAGAGCTCGGGCCTGGCCAACGGTTCCCAAGATAAGAAATTAATGGCAGCTAGCCCTAAAATATGTAAATGTCTTGCGGTCAAATGTGGTTCTTTTGGCCGTCCCGGCCATACCTAGCATGGCTCCGTTGTAAGTTTTTCTTGTTTAATAACCATTGTTGATAAATCTTATAAAACTCAAAACTTATCTTATTGTTGCCTTACTGCTCTGCCAATTGTCATTACCTAGTGACACGTAGGTGCTACTAGGTCCCCCAATAGGTCATCTCCTACCCTCAGAGACGGGGGAGGTGTGTCAAATCAAAGTCTTTCCATAGTGCTCTCTCATATAGCCCCCCTTTTCCATTCTGTCCCCACTAGCCCCAACTTTTGGTCTTTACTTCCTCTCTCCCTATACATCTATTCCTCCCTACCCCTGTCCCCCCCCCCGACAGGCATGGTGGATCCGGGGGGTTCGGCCCCAAGGGGGAGCACGGATGAGGTAATTAGATTCACTTTGCTTAATGTCAGGGGCCTGAATGTACCCGAGAAGCGTTCCCGACTCCTGGCGGATCTGAGACGATCCCGATCACAAGTGGTATTCCTGCAGGAGACCCATTTTAAAACCCAACAGGTTCCACGACTCCATAATAGGGACTACCCGGTGGCGTACCACTCCTCATGCCCTTTATCAAAGTCCAAAGGCGTGAGCATTTTGCTGGCCCGGTCGCTACCATGGACTTTGATGGACCTCTGACAGGACCCGGACGGTAGATTTATTCTTGCCAAGGGTCGGATAGGGGACACGGTAATTACCCTAGCCAATGTGTATCTTCCCAACTCGGACCAACTAACCTTCCTGAGACACCTGGTGTCCTTATTCCTGGACTTTTCAGAGGGTTCCCTGATTTTGGGGGGTGACATGAACTTTGCCCAGGACCCACTAGTAGATGTTTCCAGGGGAGCGTCACACCTCTCCTATGCGTACCTTAAGAAGCTGAAGGCGGAACTCCAGGGGCTACGCTTGGTAGATGCATGGCGGTTCCTACATCCCGAAGCTAGAGACTACACTTTCTTCTCCCAAGTACATCAGACATACTCCAGGATAGACATTTTCTTTGTGAGCCATCAGGCCCTACCGTCCCTGCGATCGGCCGCCATAGATACTATACTGTTGTCGGATCATGCCCATATTCATATGGACATGGTCATAGGGCCCCAGCACTTCCCAATGCCATCCTGGCGCTTGAATGAATCTCTCATTCAGGACCCGGGGATCAAGGCAGAGGTGGAAGGAGCCATTAGATCCTACTTCACCTTCAACTCCGAGTCGGGTCCCAGCCCTTCGATGGTATGGGAGGCCCACAAGTGTGTGGTAAGGGGGATTCTCATACGTCACGGAGCTCGACGCAAGAGGGAAAGGGCTGAACAGATCTCTAACTTGACAGACCAAATCTACAGACTGGAGTCTTGTCACAAACGCTCCTTGGCACAGTCCTCCCAGTTAGCTCTCCAACAAGCACGGAATTAGTTGAACGCCCTGCTATACCAACGTACCAAACAACGCTTAGTGACATGTAAACGCACCTTCTACAAATACTCTAACAAACTGGGTAGACTCTTGCTGAGAGCTCTGGGGGGTTCGCGGTCGAAAATGTATATCCCACACATAAACTCCAGATCAGGCACCAAATTGTCATTGTCGAGGGTTGTGGCCTCCGAATTTGAGGATTTCTACGCCCACTTATACAACCTGAACCCCAGCCCGACCCAGTTAGACGTAGCAGGTCGCAGACCCTTAATAGAGAACTACCTGTCGCGATTGGGAATGCCTACCCTGACCTCGCAAGTGAGTGATCTCTTGGAGGCCCCATTATCGGTGGAAGAGTGGAATATTGCCATCAAACAGTCAAAGCCAAGGAGGGCTCCAGGTCTGGACGGGTTCACCCTGTTGTACTTTAGATCGTTTGGGCACCTACTCTCCGAACATTTTTTGGAAGCTTATAATGCCCTCTCACAAGGGGGTGCCCTACCGACTGACGCTCTTCGAGCGCACATCACGGTGATCCCGAAACCGGACAAGGACCCCTCCCTCTGTGCCAGCTACCGTCCGATAGCATTGTTGAACACAGATCTGAAAATTTACGCTAAAATGCTGGCAAATAGGCTTCTCCCTTATATACCCGACCTTGTACATTCCGACCAGGTCGGATTTGTGCCTGCCCGAGAGGCACGAGACAATATAGTCAGGGTTCTCAATGTGATTAATTCGGCCCGCAGCCGTTCGCACCCTCTTATGCTCCTATCCATTGACGCCGAGAAGGCGTTCGATCGGGTTGATTGGAATTTCCTCGAGTCCACGCTCCAGCATCTAGGGCTGGGGACACATATGCGCTCATGGATTATGGCCCTTTACTCATCCCCAACGGCAGCTGTGAGAGTTAAGGAAACTCGATCAGAGTACTTCTCCATCTCAAATGGTACCCGTCAGGGATGCCCCCTATACCCGCTCATATTTATCCTCACGCTGGAACCCCTATTATGCACCATTAGGGCAGATGATTCCGTCGGGGGCCTACAGGTTCCCTCGGGGACACACAAATTGGCAGCCTACGCGGACGATCTGGTCTTCTTTATATCCCGTCTAATGTCCTCGGTCCCTGCCCTTACGAAAGCATTCGACACTTATGGAAAGCTTTCTAATTTTTTGGTTAATCAGGCCAAGTCGGAAGCTCTCAACATCACCTTACCCCCTATGGAACTAGACCGTGTGAGATCCTACTGCCAGTTCCGTTGGTCACAGAAGAGTCTCAACCACCTGGGTGTACGTGTTGCAGCGGACCCAGACCACTTATATGCTGAAAATTATGCCCCTTTACTACACGCAATCAAACGTGACCTCTCGAACTGGCAGGACCTGACCCTGACATGGTTTGGTCGCTGCGCCTCCCTAAACATGACAGTTCTCCCCAGGATTCTATACATACTTCAGGCGATCCCGATTCATTTACCTCCCACTTTCTTCTCTCAACTGAGACGTATGTTTGTATCCTATGTCTGGGCTAGTCGGCGTCCGAGGTTGGCATATCGACTCCTGGTACTACCTAAGGACCGGGGTGGAGTGGGCCTGCCGGACATTAAACTTTACTACAAGGCGTCCCACCTTGTAGTAGTCCTTACTGGACTGGTGCTGCCATACAGATCAGGAACGATGGGTGGGGATGGAACTTTCAGAATCCAAACTGACTCTCGGGGGCTGCGTGGCTCACTTCCCCTCTGCCGTCAGAGATCTCCTCACATCCCTTCATTGCGGTGGATGTCGCTTGACTCCATACGACACCTGACCTGCCCAATGCTAGATGAGTGGAGTGCACGGCAGATCCGACATTTTCTGATCTCTGTGCCCGGGCTGAGTCAGTTGACGCGTCGCCTCACGGATTTTGAGTCCATATGTCACCAAGGGGCCCCAATTCGCCATGCCCTCTCTTTGCTTTACAGACAACTCTGCTCGCCACCACAGTCGTATTGCCCTCCATTCCTCGAGAAATGGTAGTCCGAGTTGGGAAGAACCTTCACTGAGCATCAAAGGGGTACAATATTGTCCTTGGTCCATAGATCCTCCATAGCATGCAAATTCCAGGAACAGGGATACAAGATTGTTTCCCGCTGGTATAGAGTCCCGTATATCCTAAACAAAATGAACAGCTCGATCCCCTCAACCTGTTGGAGATGTGAACAGGCTCAAGGTACCATGCTACATATATTCTGGGAGTGCTCCGGGCCTTAGTTCATTTTGGACAGGGGTGAGGGAGACGATCAACCGGCTGGTGATCGAGGCCCTACCAGATGACCCGGCGGTATGTCTGTTACACATGACCCCTCTCGCTGTTAAACGCTACAAAAAATCCCTGACAAAACATCTGTTAAATGCGGCTAGGTCATGTATACCTCTGATGTGGAGACAATCCAGCCCTCCCACGTTGAGAATATGGTTCTCCATTGTGGATGAGATATGGCGTATGGAGGACCTAACTGCTTCCATTCATAATGCAGAGGAGAGGTTTCGTACGATCTGGAGACCGTGGTCCCATTTCACAACAACCCCTGCCTATCTCTCGGTGATGAGCACAAACACCCCTGCCCCGCCTGCTGAGGGGTGAGAGGGTGGTCAAATGGGCCGGGGGGAAGGGCGGGGGAGAGGAGTTCCCCTAAGCCCTGATAATGCCTCTAGATCCTATTCCCCATCCCCTCCTTTTCCTTTTCTTCTTCCTTTCCGTCTGACCTCTATGTGATTTAGACCCTTCTGAAATTATCCTGTCCAGGTGATACCCCCTGAGGTGGGAACTCACCCACTCTCTTACACCGGACGTGACTCTTGAAGCTCAACTTAGGACTAGAACTGACATACAGAGTGAGAGAGGTGGGCACGTCCCACACAATGATCAGTATGTATATGTCATTGTTCGCTTAGACAGCCGGTACTTTTCAGTCTCGAGGCCATGTTTAAAGCCTATATGTGAATATAATTATGCAGAGATGTAGCAGGTGGGTCCTTTCACGTACAATGAGGGCAATCGCACAACAGGCAAGGATACTTTTCTTTGCACATGCTTATTAGCTTTTACACTGCTTTACTGAATAAGATGTAACGGGGCTTATTTATAGGGCAGCATAAAGAGCATTGATGGTATATAAAGTGTTTGCCCTTTCTGCTCCGCTCATGCCTAATGACACCAACTCAGTATGATGGATAACCCTAGTGCTAGGACAGACTTTCTGGCTTTATTATCACCAATAACAAATTCTTTCAGATTTTTTTTAAAGGTACTAAAACAAAAATGTACTTGATAGGCATTTGAGATTAAACTTCTGGGTAAAAAGTACCCTGTGTCTGAATGGACATTTAATAATTACCTCTTAACAACGTAAAGGCCAGTAAGTGAGTCTTTATCATGCTTGCATTAATCAAGGATGATTGTGTATATGGTGGGGTTGTCATGACACTGGGTGGCAGTGTCTTTGTCACAGGTGGGAAACACGCACAATTGAAGGATGATTGGAGTGTTGCTCCTGGTTGCTTGGGAATGCATATCTTAGAGCTGGACCTGACACAATAGAACATCTAATGGGCCTCTTCTGTCTAGGATTATGCAGCAATTTAAACTAATGGTCCTCTGGTGTTCTGAAAAGAAATTTGACGGTTTTATATGTTTGACAATCATGGAGTGGTTTGGTCAATACTGAATGAATAACACTACAGATCAAATAGTGT